GAATAAAAAGAGGAACGGTGAAATTCTCTCTCTAGGCTATTAGGTTATAGTTAGTAAGCACTTCATATTAATTATTAGGGCCTAATAGAAAAACTGCTGCTTAACTGAACAAAATATATTCCTTATCCACATCTCAACTGCCATATTTCAGCTCTGTTTCCGGTCCAAATTTTTGCCATGTTTGTGTCATTATTGAAGAAAGAAGCATAGGCGATCTAGCAGGAAAAGGTAAACCTTTCCTGACCTCCCAGTCCTTACTGAATTTACAGTCACATGATCCTCCAACTTTCATTAGAAATAAATAAAAGGGAAAATAATAGAACTTCAATTAAAAAAAAGAAGTGTAATACTTAGGCAGCACAAGAATTATGAAAGAATCCAATATTGCCTTGTCAGCTGAAGAGGGAGGGGAAAGGAGCATATTAGCTCCTTAAAAATAATTGTTTAAAAATAGAACAACACTGCATCATTATCCTTGTCTTCTTTTTATATATATTTGATTCAGTCTCCTCTTTAGTTTTGGTGTAAAATATTAGTAGTTTAGGAAAAAACCACAAATGTTTGGTAGTATTTGTTTAATATATTAGAAAAAATTAGTTTTAAAAAGTCCCATTTGACACTAGTGAGATGATAATTTTGGTAAGCCTATTGCTGCCTGGATGTGGAATTCACTGCTGCTGTTTTTGGTTTTTTCTCTGTTGCACTGAGGTTATCTAGTTTCAGATACAATCTATTAAGTGGAATATTTTTCAGTAGCTAAGGTTTTCCCACCTGTCTACCCTAAAACATCTGCAACATATGTTTGCATAACCCTGCAATGCTTTGTGGTTTGGGCCTTGAGAAATTCCCCCAGAGCTTTTTCCTTATAAACAGCTGAGCAATTCATTTCTCTAATGACGAGTGCTTTTCCCTTGGTGTTGAGGCAATAGCATGTTCACTAAAATAAGTCTCATTTTTCATCAGACATATCGAAAATCTTTTTTCATTCTTGTCTCTTATTCTGAACCTTCAGATTTAGTGCAAAATTGTATTTGGGTTTTCTCCTGTTAATAAAACTAAAAAGGGAGGAAAGAAAATACCTTAAGAAAGAAGAGCATTATAGAGATCCCTCCACTTGCACCTGCATGTAAACTTTTAAAAATACTGTGTATTCAGGTGGCGAAACGTTAGGTATGTTGTAGAACAGCCTGCCTGTGACTTCTGTCACACGCAAGTGTGCTTTGCTATATCCTGTCTGTTCCGTGCGTAATGTGACATGCGATGTCTCCAGAGGCCAGGGAGAAAAAGGGGTTATTTTGAACATATGGAGCATGATCCTTAGCTGGTGGGAATTGCTTTTCAGCAGTTTATGCAGGTTTAGGGAATCTCTGCTGCATTCAGTGCAATTCTGACCACAGCAGCAGCCCACGGCCTAGGAAGAGTGCAGGTGTGGGTATAACTTATCTCATGTCCCTGGGCGAGGATAAAGGCAAATAGAAAGTTCCCAAGAATCTCCTGCCAGCCATGGGAATTGGAGTGAGTCAAGTCTGGTGGTGATTGGGAACAGAGACAGGAGGACAGGGAGAGGACTTCAGCAGGCAAATGAGCCAGAGGGAGGGCATCTTTTAGGCCAGGAAGGGCGCATAGGCAGGAGTGCCTCAGAGATACCTGGGACATTTTAAGGCATCTTTCTCATTTTGGGCTGTGGCTAGTACATTTTGAAGAGACGAAGTCCAAAATCACATCAATTTCTCTGTGTGCTTCTACATCTGAATTTCATACATCGTCCTTTTAAAGCGTAAATTGGGCATTTTCTAACAGTTGAAACTACAGTCACTAGATAGAAATTAGGATTAGAAGAATTATAAATCCAGCAAACTGCTCCTACAAAATGGGTGTGGGGAAAAGGGGTTATAGTATTGGCACAGATTTCTTTCTGATTTCTGCTCTCTCTTTCCTTAAAAGGAGAAAACCATATATGTGTTAATCTGTATAATGCCCTTACACAATTTCTTAGGGGGATTCAACAAACTACTAATTTGAAGGATTGATTTCACTGTCAATTTAACATTAACCTTTTAAGAAAAAATATTTTATTGAGGTACTAGTAAAAATACTTACATAAATTGAAAAATTAAAGGAATAACTTTACTTGCTTAAGTAATGAAAATACAAATCAGATCATTCTAAATTGCACTCTGTAGGTAAAAAACTGGTTGCTGTGAATGTTTTAAACAATAGCTGTGTTTTTTGTAAATAAATTTGTTTAGTCTTTAGTTCTGATATGTGGAATATAATACAGGGGACACATCAAATTGGATGCTTAGAGAGAGGAGTTAGTTTAAAATTCTTAAGCAAGAAACATTGTCATTGTGTGGGTTTTCCTTTGTGCTGCTTGTATTTAACTTACTGAAATGATTGAAAAGAATAGAAAATTTAAAGGACAATCACAATGAAATAAAGATCATAATCTTCATAAAATCATATTTTTTACTGTCTGAATTTCAGTTTTCAGAAGTATTTAAATTTTCTGTGGTGATATTTCATAGATACTTGTCTGCTAACATATATGTCTGGTTGAGGTTTTTTAAACACTGAAATTTTCCAAAAGGAGATCTCATTGGTGCTACAAAAGGAGTTGCAGCAGTAAACCTTGGTATTTACTGTCTTGCATTTCTAATGTTTTTTCAACAGCGTTTTTTCTGAGGGCTTTTTTTTTCACTGCATGTAATAGTACTTTAAACTGCTTCTTCCTTTGATATGGTTAAACCTCATAGGAATTTAAATAGGCCCCTATGAAAGTAATGCTTCTCATTCATATGTTTGAGTTCGTTATTCCTATTAATGGCTTTAAGTGCTTAGAAAGTAGATCAGCCTTTCGTGTCTTGAATTGCATGTCATTTCTACATAAATATGTTTCAGGATGCTGTTCCATATGATCTTTTCCTATTGTTTTTGCTGGTTTGGTTTTTTTTTTAATTCAGAAGCAATGTGTAATCATCTTTTTTATTATTTATTGGGTAGTGGAAAAGAAAATTCGTTGTTTTTGTTAACTTTCAATAGATGCCAAGTTGTTGGAAGCTAATTGCAAATCTGGCTAGCATCTAGTAGTGTGTATTTTTCAAAGGGCTGTCTTATGACTTAGAAGTGCCCATTATTTTAACCATCTCTTATTCTTCCACCTGGTTTTAAATGGCCATCAAGACACGTAAAGAAAGAAGTTACTTAATTTATGGGAGAAAAGTTACTCTGTTTGATTACTCAGATAGTAGTTGCAGAATCATCAGTTACCCTCATCACGTCAGTTTGGATTTGATTATCATAGAAATGTATTGAATTACCAAACTAGAGCAATAGTAACTAAAGCTGATTCATTGTTATTGCTGTCAGTTGATGAGGACTGACTTACAAGCTATATGAATAGGTAGAGTTATGCAAACATTGTTTTTATAACAGGAGACGAAAAATGTAGAACGGCCGTTACAATGTGGGTGGTAGGATAGATGAGGATTTTTTTAATGCTTGTCTAATAGCTTTCAGTTGTTTCATTTTTTAATGAACATTACAAATAGCATGTTTGTTTGAAATCTTTATTATGGTTCCAAAGAAAATGAGAAATTTCATACAAGATTAAGTCTAACTGCAGGAAGCGATCTGGGAATTCCCACCCTTAAATATGCCCCCATAAATTATCCTGGCCTTTGGTATCTACCACCTCTTTAAATCTTCTCTCCTTTTGTGCACATGCAATATTTTGGTCTTTAAAAGGCAACTTCTGCATCCTCCTCCAAAAATAAGGTTTTCAAGGAAAAAGAGTTATCTACATGTATGTAGATGAGAGGATAAGACAGTGGATACTCTAGTCTATAATAAAACCTGGAGAGGAAATATACTGTAACAGCTGAAGACTGACTCTGTCAAAAATATAATATACTGTCACCTGTGAGTGACTGTTTCAGAAAGGTCATTGCATAGTTCATTAAAACTATATTTACTACTAGCAGAATGTAAGAAGGCAGATCAGAATATATGGCAACAGCCTGTGAATGATTAAACCATTAGAGCAAATACTTGAAAAGTATTTAGATCTCTTTTATACAATATATCTGATCATGATGCAGAAACTTACCATTCTGTTTTCTCTTACACTAGAAATTATTTAAGCCATTTCTGATTTTTAAAGGGCCTCTCTGTACCTCTCTCATATTTTGTTAACATCTCTATGCAAATTTTTTTACTTAAAAATATTTACTTGCATCTCCAAATAGTGTCCTTCAGCATGCATTCATTCAATCAAGATACTTTATGCATATACTGCAGTCTACACTTAATCAATGTTCAGAATTATTGAAGGCAGCGTGACTCCATGAAAGGGTTCCATTGTGTCAGAATGGGAGAATAGCAATGGCTTCAGTATTAATTATCTACATTTTGTTATAGGACAACAGTTCTTTATTCATAGCCTCAGTTTTGAGTAGGGTGAAATTTGGAGAGAAAATAAAGGCTCTGTGTGCCATCTAGTGGGAATGTTCAGGTTGTCTCACTAAATTTAATTCTTTGCTTAACAGAGATACTGCTAGTGATGTTATTGAGTTCAAAATGTTTGCTATAGTTTCTCTTTACTGTTACTGTTTTCTTTAAAAACATATCACTTTAGCTTGGAGGTGGTAAAATTCTATATACCTGAGCTGAAGGAAGAAATCAGATCAGTATCTGTACTTGTCCAAGAATTATTGATTTAATTAGCAATGTTACCACTACGGCCAACAGCCTCATCGCTGTGTGGAAGAACACTAATTTTTTTTTTCTGTGAGCATGGAATGGACTTACTGGTAACCACTGGTATTATTTCAAGTATTTTAAGTCTTCACTTCAATGTAACTGACATTACTGCCTTGAGAAACCAAGGTCCTGGGAAAAGAAAATGTTCTTAAGTTTCTAGTACTCATTAATAAACATATTTCATGTCTCTGCTTTAAATCTCCCTGAAAGTTGCAATGAGGTATCTTTTTATTTTTTAGCGAAATCCAAGACCAGTGACTCATCAGTTCCAACAAAATTTAGATTATTACAAAGCACGTGGAGCAGACTTGATGAACAAAACACGGTAAGCTATTTCTAAATATGTGTTCACCGAACTAAGACCGAACATAAACAAAATGTTTCAGCAGTCACGTTTATCCCAAACAGGAATTATATAAGCAGCATTAGAAGCACATGCGTTTATTTCATGACATTTATTTTGAATCTGTCCCTTGCCTATTACTGAGCAAAAAAATTGAGGTTTTACAGATAGCGTTGCAGTCACTCGCTGGCATTTTTTTAAGGCTAAGGACATTGGCACACAATGACATGTGTAGTAAAAGCAGGGGGTAAAACGTTGCCAATGTGAGTTCTGTAGCTGAACTAGTTCCGATAGCACGTCTGATCGCAATCTGGAGTATCCACGTACCGGAAGCTAAGTTAAGTTGAATTGATGTAAATCCAGCTTGAAGTAATATTTACAAAACTTTTCCTCCCTTCTTTTAGAAATGGTTTGTATCAATAATGCTAAAATTCCTTCTCAAGATCATATCATCTGGGTGGCCACAAGGTGGGTGCCAATTGCTGATGGCTGGTGGCTGCAGGGCAAGCCAGCACAAGACCTAATGCTTCAACTGAAACTGCTATTACAGGCAGTTTCTTGGATTGCATGTGGCCCCACCCGTATCCTATGCCTGCTGATACATGGGAAACCTGCTGGCTTTTGGATCTTTGCACCTCTGTCACATTCTATTTAATGCACTACATTAAAAGCCAGCTAAAATTAAAATGGACTAGATCGAAAAGCTTTTAAAAATGGACAAAGGAGCAGAAATTAAAGCTGAGTAGAGTGACTGCAAAAGCATCTTTTTCTTTTAAATCAGGCTTTAAAGTTGGGGACAAGTGTCAAAAATTACTGCATTCTATTGCATTTTCATATTTTACATACTTACTCTTTTGAAAAATTCTCTCAGAAGTTGCTTAAACTGGAAGAATAAGTTGTTTGAAGATTCAAAAAGAAATGTTTCAAGGATTTTGAAAAAATAAGTAAATCATAAAGCCTAAACAAGAATGACACCTGTTGGAAACCTAAATTCTAAGAAAAAAATTAAGTCAGTTAAATCTATGTAGAAATACAAGTTAACTGTACACATATACACAGAATTCCCACCAAAGGAGGTGTGAAGTTATTGATAAATCAGAATTCCGAGTCACAGAATATTCTGAGTTGGAAGGGACCCAGCACAAGGATCATCAAGTCCAACTGTCAAGTGATTGGCCCCTAAGGGGATCAAAACTGTGACCTTGGTGTTATTAGCACCATACTCTGAGCAACTGAGCTAATCTCAGAGTTAAATTGTTTAGAATAGTTCAGACAGAATAATAGCTGGGATAAATTTATCTCAAAACAGGAACATTTAGAGTAGGTCAAATGTGGTAAATCTGTTTAATACTGGACTAAAGAGCCAACCGGAAGATGTAAAACTAGGAAATGTTTCTGCAGTGAGTAGAGATGGATTAAATCAACTACCAAGTCTTTTTCATCTTCAATTCCACAGGCTCAACGATATGTTTAAAATATCTTGCTAAATCTCTACTATATATTGCTTATTTTATCACATATAAAACTTTTTAATTGGTCATATTCATATATTTATCTCTCATAATGATTACTTACTGAAAAGAGAAATGCCTTTGAATAAGGCTTCCTTAAAACAAAGCATTTCCATCTTAGCAGAAAACTGCAGAGATTGAATCATCTTCCTACAGCTAGTTTAAAAATACACCATTCACAGTCAAGGTCAATGATGCTTATTGTGATGAAACAAAATTGTTTGCTTCATAGATGGAATGCACGTCTCCTTGATACTCGTATTTTTAAACTGATGCCTTACTTTTAAATGCATCTGCTGATAACTCTACAACATAATCAATCAGTATTTTTCTTGTAATTGTTGTGCATGTCTGGTACATTTAGATGGCTAAAATGTAGACATTGATCCATGTTTAATGGCTGTAATCATCCTTTGCATTAATATATCAGACATTTAGATGTAAGAAGTAGGCACATTATTCTTATTTTCCAGAACTTTGTCTCAGTTTATTGTAACTTCTCCAGAGATGTGACCCCTCACTGTTCTTTTTCTGAAGCTGTGATTCAGAGAAATTGTACAGATTTTACTTTACAATATATTTAATAAAACCACCTCTTGAGAAGGTATTTAGATAGCATCATTTAATTTTCATGTGTTTGTATGTGTTCTGAGCTGATCATTAGCAGTGTCAGTTCATAGCACAGCCAAATCACACCACAGGTATTAGGAGCTGCAATAACTATCCTTATAATTATAAAAGATGCTTGCAGGGTACTGTTGAAAGCATTTTTTAAAATCATGTGTCAGATACAAAGGCTTATAGAGTTTTGATGTTTGTTATTCCGGTGAAGTGAAGTTTCTCAAAAAGTCTCTTTCCAACCATATGAATCATCATCATGGCTGGGCTTCGCGAACGAAGATTTGGGAAGGGCTCTATCAACATTTGTTACAAGCACGCTGGTGGCTAATGAGGCCAATACGAGACAGGCATGTCCAGTTGCAAAATGCACAGCAGAAAGGCTCCTTAGATGGTATATTCTGCAAGGCACGATTCTTTCTGCGTTGTCTTTTCTCCTCAAGAGTGATCCTGTGTGCGTTCTCAAAGGAGACAGCAGCGTTATAGATGGTGTGTCTCCAGGCCTCCCGATTTGAGGCCAAAGTAGACCAGTTATGTTGATCAATATGACCAAGGCTGAGATGTTGTTTCAGGGAGTCCTTGTATCTTTTCTTCGGGGCTCCTCTCTTGCGGCAGCCAGTGGCAAGTTCACCATAAAGCAAGATCTTAGGGAGGCGGTGGTCCTTCATCCTTGAGACGTGCCCCGCCCAGCGCAGCTGTGTTCTCAGCAACATGGCCTCAATACTTGTGACTTGTCCTGGTGTACATATGTGTCAAAGCAGCAAATTAAGTGGTGTAGAAGGAAAACTGCCACTTTTTATTAAGCATAATATAGCTGAAAAAAAAAGAAACAAGAAAGAAACAAGCTGGTGGACACAAATATACATGAGCTTCTTTATAAGCTTTATCTCCTGCATCTGTGGACCACCGTGATTCCAGTGGTGCAGTCTCAAAGTTTCCAGTGGCTTTGTTGCTTGGGTAGCCTGTCAGAGAAAATGATTTAGTAAATATAATTTCTTGTGCACAATCAAGGGGTTTTTTTTAGTGATTGTCAAGGTTCTAGACCTAGAGACAATACAAACCTAGGACTCAATGTGCAAGCCATTATCTTCCTTCTAAGGTGATGTTTCAGGAGAATGAGTGATACATACCACCCCAATCTCCAATTTTGGTGATTGGTTTCAGAAGACTGAGAGAAAAAATATGCCAAATATACTGAAGTTTGGATTCTGAATCTCAACCAAGTCATTGCTGGTATGACTCCCAAAATCAGTGATGTAATTAGATTTATTGCAACTGTTGATAACTGGTTGATACCTGCTAAGCCAGAATTTGATATTTCTTTTTCCACCTTCAAAGCCTCAATAGTTTTCTTTCTGGAATAGAGAAGGCATTAAACAAAAGGCCCTGTGCTGACTCTTCTGATGCCACATATATGAGATAGAATAGAAAAAAATCCCTTTTTTTTTTAACTAAAGTATCTGAGCAACATCTTGGAGAACTGATAAATAACTGAATCTGCTGTGTAGTAGCAGAGTAAAATTTAAGAGTAACAAACATTTAACCAAGCCCTCTTCTTTAAAATCATTGGCACTATTGTTATGACCCAGGAAGGTGGGATAACTGAGGTTCTTGTTAAGAGATGCCTTGGGGCAGATTGGAGTTGAACCACAGTGAATGGTAGATAGATACATAGATAGATAGACAGATAGATAGATAGCAAGTTTATTTTAGAACTATTTGGTTGCAATGGAAAGGAGGTATATAGGTGTTTAGGTTATTGTCTATAGAAATGCAACAATATAAAATATAAAGATATCACTTAAGGAAATATGTATAAGGAAAAGAAAGAAAGGGTAACAGTAACTAGCAGAGAGGAAAGATATCACCACCCATGAATCCAGCAACGAGACTTGATTCATGCAATTTCAATGTCTGTTGGTTGAGATGATGGTCACGGTCTTGATCCATCGGGGCAGGGGAAGCCCACAAAACACAAAGTTCAATGGATTAATATATGTTAAGGTTCAAGTGGGAACACCCAGGTACCTCCCCTAGGGGGGGGCAGTTTTACACTGTCTGTTGCAACACTGTGGATCATGCTTAGTTGTCTGGTGGAAGGCCCCAGAAATTAGTTTGGGGGTGCTTTGGGGGTCTTTGATGGCTTAAGACACCTTCTGAGACATTACAGCTGCCTCTCACATCAGCATAGTTGACCCATTTATGCCCCATCAGAAGGGGTGAATACCTTCAGGCTTATGTGTGAATCACCTGGGGGCAGGGGTATTTTTATACCTGAGCCACTTGTGAAAGAGAGGAAATGAGCATGATAAAAAGCATTATCTCCACAGGATCTGCTTCTGAAAAACCAGCTTGTTGCAAAACAAAGGTTGGTTTGTCATGGTCATCCTCCAGGATGGATACTAACCCCTTCTGCACCTGGGCTGTTCTTATGCAGATCAGAGGTTTCACCACTACACCCAGACCTCTCCTCCTCCCTTTCAATTGTAGGGTGCAAACCTTGCCCTAAGCAAAGCACTTGCTGCTTTTGAATGTCTGGGGTTTTTTAAATCATTACCTTTAACATTTCAGCCTCTCACAACTCTTCAGTTTGCTTTTGAAACTGTTTGGGCATCTTTAAGAGTATTTTATAGTTCTGCGATGCTGTCTTTATAGTGACTTTGTCAGTCATTCTCAGGTGACTACAGGAAGACTTTTTGTAATACTGGCAGCAGTCAATAAAATGGGGAGATGCAGAAACATCCGGTAATTATTATTCAGCAATCATTCCTTCTCAGCTTCCACAAATTGGGAAGTAACACTAGACCCCAGTCTCTGCACTGCTGGTCTTCCAAAAAAATGCCAAGTACCATCGTTCTTCATCACCAGTTTATGGCAGAAATGCCCCATACAGCTTGGAGCTGTATCTCGTGAGTGTGCAGGCTCAAATACTTCCTTCTGATATCTCTCCTATTCTGTCTATTCTGAGTATCTATTCTGAGTCTAAACAACTCAGCTGTTGTTATTTTCTGGATGTGCTTTATGTGTGTGTGTGTGTGCGCATTTGTATTGTGTATTCTAAAAAAAAAATCTCTGGAGACAAATAGAGAAATTATATGAAAAGCAAAATCAAAATTACTTTTCGAGGTGCTTGTACAAGTTACAAGTCGCCCATATTAATTCATTTGTAGTTTATTTTTAGTTAAACTTCCCCAAAACATTGCAATGCAATTTTTTTCCACAGTACAGCGATTGTATTGGTTTTAATTACATTTCTTCACATTTTTAAAAGACAGCTGTTTATATCATGGAAGTACAAATCATCAAAATAAAACCTCAAGAGTGAAAAGGTCTTTGTGATTCTGATATATTTCTGTGAAGGGTATTTCAAGCATTAATTATATAAACCAGGAAATTATTGCATGAACAAATAAAAATGGCTTTGCTGATCTGTGGGTTATCCGAACACTTCTACTGGGAATTAGAAGGTTCTTTGCCTCTTTATTTTAGACAGATTAAATGGTTCGACAATTTCCTCATTCTTAATGTTGCATATAACTGAAGTGAATTAAATAGCCACTGTAGTTAAAAATATAACAATGATAAGGATCATAATTCAGTATATGTGTTATATCCTTAAGCAGTCCTTTAGCAAAATCACTTTAGAAATCAGGATTGTCCTGAAAAAGTGCTTGGCTTGAAATGATTGGGCTGGGCAGAAAGTGAACTAAGAGCAAGGGACATCTAGCTCTGCCAACCTAAAAGTACAGTCTACTATTGGTTTTTCTTGCTGAAAGAAGTGTTTGGGTTTGAGTAAATTTAACCATTTGAGAGAATTTAATCTAGCAGAAGTAAATATTGAAGCAGTCTTTGAGTAAGAGTGCAAAAAATCAATTTTATAAAGTTTTCAATTCTGTAAAGCTTGGTTTGCTTTTTGTCACTCTTTCTTTTTTTTTATGTAATTTAATTTAAATTATGTAAATTATGTAAACTATGTAAATTATGCAATTTTAAAAGCAAAATTTAGAAAATTGGTGCAAACTCGCTTTGTTTGGGGTTGGTCTGCATTTTTCAGGGAGAAAGGACCAGAAAAATTTGTCACTACTGGTTGTGAAAAATTCACAGTCTCTATGGTCTCTGCGTGTATTCCAGTATAACTGTAGTAAAACACCCTCTTCATAACATTCAAATCTTCAATTTTTTCCTCCCACTTTTGGAGACTGATACATGTATGGCTGTGTCTGTTTAAACCATTGGCAATGATGTGATGATTTCTCTTCTTTTCTCAGCGCCAGTGCTAAGGCTGCCCCTCTGAACATTAACAAAGTGTCCAACAGCTTACTGAATTTTGGCCGAAAGCTCATTGCTCCAGCTATGGCTTCAGGTGGGGCTGTGGGCACTCCTACAGGGGGGAGCAGCTTTCCTCCCACTTCCATGCCCATCAGGAGTACAGTGGAAGCCCCCCAGCACCATCATCACCACCAGCAGCACCAGCACCACCAGTCGCAGCAGCAGAGGATGATGAAGTCTGAAAGCATGCCAGTTCAGCTGGGCAAAGGTAAAGGAGAAACGTGTGTGACAGTGCCGTGACAGAGGGAAGCTTCATCATACATCTTAAGGCCTTAAGAAAGTATTTTTTTGATTTTTATATCAGCGTGTACATATTTGGAGGAAACAGCAAAAAAAAAGTATTTTGTTAGGCAGGCTACCTGTGCCAAGTACAACAGTACATTTGCAGTGTAATACAGAATTAGATGCTATCTTAAGAGTGTGCAAATACTGTAAGAAGTTTTAAACCTTTAAAAAAATACTAACCAGAAGCTGCATCAGACATACCAACAAGCTACATTGTTAGTGTAAACATGAGCCAATTAATTTTTTTTGTTTTTCAAATGCAACCTATTTTTAACTGTAAGACTAATTTCATATATGCTTTTCCAGGTTATTGGCACAAATCCCATGCATAAAAATATTAGCTAAATACAAGTGAAGGAAGTAAGGTCAATTCCATAGTAATTCTTAATAAACAAATTCTCACTCCCTTTAGAAAGTGAGGAGCTTATGTAAGAAGTTATTTGACCAATAACATGAATTTGTCTTTTAATAATTTGTGATGACCCTCTGCACTTTATTTAGTAAACACTGCTTCTTTTTCTTGAGCCTTTCTTTTTATATTTCTTGGGAGCAGCTTATTCAAACCACAAACTCAAAAGCTCAGCTTTGGTAGTTGTTTCCTATACTCTGCCATGCTCAGGGTATTTTTTACTGCTTTTCATCTTCAGCCAGCCTATGGCAGTATGTGCTTTACAAGGAGTATGTAGAGCACAACAGTATCTGCTGCTTCCAGCAACTCATCCCAAGTCATGGTTATGAGTTTGGGGGCTGGTGCTGGTTGCCCTGAACCATTACATAGGATTGCACCATTTATTTTCAGTGGATTTAAAAGTGTAAGAGAAGGGAAATAACACTTTGTAGCTGAAGTTGGTGTTCTTTGTCTTTCCTCTGGCAACCATGTGGTCCAAAGTTAGTCCTTCCATGATGCATTGCATCCCCAGCAGACACTGAGGGAGCAGAAATGAAAGGTACAGCCGTTCTCTTGAAGCGACAGATATACAGGCACTTCTGTGAGGACCACTGCAGCTGCTTGGCAAAATCCAGAGATGCAGCTTCTGTCAGAATCATAGAATAATCTCAGAAATTGCTCCAGCAAGGGTTTTACAGCACAGATGTGAAACTGAAGTGCAGTGAATCTTTGATGCAAATCCTGTTCACAACAATGGAGGTAAAATTAGGCGTAGAACAAAATTATTTACACAGTTTTGGAGAGACCTTTTGTTTGCTTTTTTAAAAACATTTTCCATAATTCCCTTATCACGATATTCTTTTTTTCCCTTTTGAGTTGAAAAGTGGTCCTCAAGTGGTTATTTTCTTTCCCTGTTTAATATAATAAAAGCGTACAATTTGAAGCAACTTCTATAGGTGGAATCAATTGTAGCTTAATCGTGATCTGGCTGGTCAGGGATGACCCTTTTTATACTTGTATGTGCCAATTAATATGTTGCATCATTAGGAAATGCACCTGACACTTCCCATACAAGAATCAGAATAAAAAATTGTAGTTATATTTGGTCATTGTCATGTACAAGCCATGCACATACTTCTCTATCAACAGGAATATGATGATTTGGTAAAGTTACTAAGAATTTATGATGTCGGGCGCAAAGCATTTTCATGGTAAGAGGAAATAAAACATACTGAAACACTTCAGTACTTGCAGCTTCCTCTCACCATACTCTGTCTATCCATATTTGGTACAACCCTTGCAGAAGTAATTTAAGGGCAACAAAATGTAAATATACTTTTTCTTTAATAGGTTGAGATGACAGTGAGTTTTGTTTTACATATTTGTGCCATGCTTGTTATTCCAGACCTGTACAGTTACCAGTATTTTGCCCATAGTTGGATAGAAATTTTAAATGATGGCTGGTAACTGTGTTTGCAAGTGCCATAATTTATATTTTTAAAGAGACACACAAAATAACAAAGGAAATGTAAAGTCTTTTAGAGGCTGAATTCCCTCTGCAGTAAGTTTAAATGTAGGAATAGTTTAGCAAAAAAAAAAAAATCCCTATTTGCAATGACACTGTGGCAGAGAAAGGCTAAAAAGCCTTTTGAAGCATGATACAGATGCCTTCGTATACAGCTCAGCACCGTATCCATCACACCTTAAAAGCAAGAATAAGTCTTTGCAGTTCTGTGGAGAAGAACAGTATCACCACCTAAAGAAAGAGATGTACAGCACCTCCAGTGAATGAGGGCACTCCCCATAGCTACGAGAAGCTTCTGGTATTTCCGTCCCAGGCATTAAGATTTAGAATTTAGAAGCTCTCATTCTACTTATATTTGTGCTGAACTTTTTACATGCCTTTTTAGCACTGGATTCTCTTGTAGCTTTTGAGTATGTAAATGCTATTTGGCATGGTTTGGCAATATAAGGTTCCCAAGTTACTAACTAGCTGTCGCTAATTGTCTTATGTTCTTGTTCTTCACTGTGTTTTCAGCTCTACTCAACCTCCCGGAGCTTGATTATTTAGCTGAGGTAGGCAGAGGCATGGATTTAGGATTTAAATTGATAGACATTTGCGCTTCTGGTTGATCTAACACAGATGCTCAGTTGGACAGTATAACAGGCTGAAGTGCTGTAAATCTAACAGGCATCAAGCCATAAGTTATCCATTTTTTCTCATATTGTATAGGTCCTTTTAGGTTTTGAATGCTCAAGTAGTGCTGATAATTTATATTAATATGTAGAGAGTTTTAAATTTGAAGAGATTAAATTAATTGCCTGATCTACTTTTTTTTTAAGTGTGAAGAAGTCCTTGGTAACAAAATATCTTGCAGGACTGGCAAAATAATCTTATCCCAGTTTTAACAGCTCTGTTTAGACAATTAACACTCACAAAGCCGCAGCAGTGACAGGTATCATTTGTGCTGCTGTATTCTATATGAGGAATGGTTGGTTTACATAATCACTTGAAATTATTTCTCATTACAAATTTTTGATCCTTGCTGAATTTCTGTAAGAAAAAATGGATATAATTTAGATAATGTAAATGAAAAACAGGAGACTGAGAAAAAAAAAACAAACACATAATTGCAAGCCTGGAATTCTAGATGAGTCTTCAGCATTACAAATCACAGCTACACTAAGTATCCAGACACCTAATTGGAAATTCAGTTCCTCCTATTAATGTATTAATCCCATT